TTTGAATCTCCTAAATCAAATATCGAGAGAAAAATACTGATTGTTGTGCACAAATAAAAAATCTGCGTGCGAAGACAACTTACTTTATTCGATTGATACTCTTTTGAAAATCAATTTGGATGTGATTTTCATCTAATTTTTGACTCCTACAAATACTTAACAACATAATACATATTGAAAACACCTCCATATACTTTTCTCTCATCTTTTGGCTCAAGAATTTCATAAAAAACTAAACAATTTGGTGAAGTAAGTGAGTAACTCATTGGATTTGGTGATTTCACGTCTTTTATTTATATAATTTGTTATTTTTTTTGTTAAACAATTATAAATTTTATTTTCACAACTTTATTTTGAAATTGTTTTAACTCTTATTAGATTTTTCATAGACATTAATCATGTTTTTTTTATCAAACGATTGAAATACTTATTGAATTTCAATTTCATTTATTTTATTGGTGTGATTATTTACTGTTTTATGCTTGATGTATATGGTCAATTTATAATCTGATTTTAATAAACAATTGTGAAACATTATTAGAGAAAATTTAGATTCTGGGGTTACATTTGAATTAAATTGAGTTATAACGATAAATCTTCCGATTAGAGTATCGGAATGAAAGTTTCTAATTGAGTTATAAAAAATGAATAATTCACGTTGAATGATCCGATCCAATTGAGAAAATTTCGACGTTTCACTGTTTTAACTAATTGATTTTAATTTCATTACTTGATCCATTGATAATTAAATTTTATTTCGAAAAACAAATCATTTCAAACAATTCCCGAAAAACTCTAATTTGTTGAACCCTTGAGTATTTTTCCATCTCCCCGTGAAATCGANACTTTTGTCCTTCACGGGTGGTCGTCCTTCTCCTTCTTGGGTATCAATCCTATAATAACCACCCATAACAAAATTTTCATACGAGTCCATACATTACATAAATAATCATGCTAGGCTTGTGGGGGACTATTGTTACGCCTCGCCATCAAGGCTCCAGTCAAAGTGCCACGTCGTAGTCCACGTGGAAAGGAAAGTCAACAAAGACTTAATTAGTCAAATGCAAGTAAGTCAAACAAAGGCTGGAGCTCCTGTGTCGAAGCACTTCCTAAATGGCCGAACCTTCTAAGCGCTTTGAAACACTGCCAAATGACTGAAACTCTTAAGTCAAAGGCTATGTAAGAAATCAAAGAAGAAGTCGAAGCTCTTCACACAGAAGACTACCAATACGAAGCTTCCTCTGGCTGAAGCCCTCAATTCATTCGAAGTCCTTGAAGTTGAAACTGTTTTTTACAAGATTTGTAGGTAATCTTTAGGAATGATTGATATAACATTTGTAATAAAAACTGTGAAGTGTGTCAGCCTAATGTATAGGATGGACTGCAGTGGCGGATCCAGGAAATTGAGTGAGCTAGGGCGGTCGTTCATTGTTGACGTCGCAGTAATAAAATTATTTATTAATACTTAATTAAATAATATTAAAAAAATTAATCTATATATAAATATACTAAAACGTAAAAGTCATATACATTTGAAAATGTCATCCAATACAACAAGGAAAAAAAATACATTTATCAATCATTTATATATGATCAAGTTTCAAATGTTTTACGAATTTAAACAAGATAAAATAAAGTTTATACGTAAAGCACGATTGAATGGTAAATACAAACACTAAATTTAGGCGAAGATTATGCAATATTTTGAAAATACTGATTTTTAAAACTAAAACTATTTTTGACCCTAAATGAAAAGTGTTTTTCAAACTCTTAAAAAAATAAAGAGCAGTTCTTAGATTGTTTAAATTTAAATGTTATAAAATAAATTGATTAAACTTAAAAATAAAAGTATCTATATTATGAAGCAATAATTTGAGTCAAAAAAATTATTAAAATAAATTATCTTAAAAATAAAAACTAATAAAATATAATTATTTATTTAATATTTATTGTATGAAAAAAATTAAGCAAAAAAGGTGGATTTGCATTGAATTGAACCCCATACCTCTTGGATACAAAGTAACCCCACCGCCATATGAGCTATCATCCATATTATTAAAGTTAGTACAATTATAAATAAAAAGTTAATTATTATTTACCGTTTTTAAAAATTAAAAAGAGGAAGACCATGATAGGGAATCGAACCCGAGTATCTTGAACACAACAATAGGCTCGCTACCAGCCAATCTGCACATGGTTTTGCTAATTATTTCTACTAAACATCTGAGTGCTGTAACCGCCCCTGAAGGACTGGACTGTTGACCCATTGTCAATATATTTCATGCATGATAGACTTAGTGATGTAAAACTTTAGTCAATGAGATGAGGCAACGTGGTTTTGACCTAACGATCACCACGTCGGCCAGAGCTTTATAAATAGGTGGTCTTTGTAAATTATAAATGATACTCTTTTGAATATTGATTCTAATATACAAGAATATATTCAAGAAAAATACTCTCAATATACCATCTTTGTTCTATAATTGTTAGTTTGATATTAGGTAATCGACACTTTGTTGGTGATTGTTTGTTAGTTTAATCATCTTAGTCACTATCGCCGGTATTCTAACATTTTAGTCTCGCGTCGTAAAGCATTTCCCTCGTTCACACGCTCCCCTTCTCCGTCCGGTTCTCCTGTCAAAAAGCACCAAAAATTGTTTGAGTTGGCATGAGCGGACCTGTCATCTGTTGTCCACGTCGACATTACGAAAAATAGGGTCAACAAAACACATTGTTAAAATGTAATAAAAATTGTAGATTTTATGAAATGCGTAATTGAAAATAAACTTGATAGGAAATGATTTTTAAAAAATTAGGGTCAAACAGAAATTGATCTACAGAATGAAGCACCTTTTCAACACGTTTGACACCGATAAACTAGATAATTTATCTCATGCATATCTCCATTTACAAAATCCACTTAAATTTATTTAATGAGACCGCGTCGAATTTATCTTTGATAGATATGGAAAAATCTGCACCAATGTTATTGGGATTTCTTGATTATTTTTGTGAATATTGCAAATGAGTTGTCCTTGTACCTTGATTAAATGGGTGTCTGGCGTTGAAAATAAGACATGACAATTAGATGCCTTTGCCGAAATGTTGTAACTTAGTGGGTAAGGGAAAAAGCATTTATAACTCACACTCCACAAACTTTTTATTGGACAACGTTGTGTGGATGCGATCACAATTGTGTTAAAAAAATAATAATTAATGTTTCCTTTGTGTTTTGGTCTTCCTTCGTGAAAGCTTGCTCTCTTATCTATCCTTTCCTTTTTTCACACTCTTAAAAGTGTATCATGTGAAAATCTGATCCTACAACTTGCATGCACAAATCCAATATGAATGAATCATAGCGGATGTGAAAGAACACTTAGATTTGCATATCTTTAGGTATTGCAATCAAATCTAACATTGTCATGTCATTGAGCTTAGAAATTTATTCTAGAATAGCTCAATTTTATCAAATTACTAAAATTAATTTGCGAGTACTTCTTTTTTTTTTTTTGACAAACAACCTTAGGGCGATGATGTAAATCAGTTGGATTTCAGGGCATTTGACCCAGATAATTGGAGAGTTCATAGTCTCGAACATTTCGAACAAACTTTGACCCATTGACCCGACCCAAGTATAAAAAGGCTATTGTGAGGTGTAATACTTTTTTAAGTGTTGCTCAATGACTTGTTGAGAGATTGTAGCCTTGGATCATGCTTCGATCAATGGTTGTGGTTTTTCCTATACAAGGAGGGAGCCCTGGGCTACTTCACAATTTACACACTCATTTTTTCTCCTTCTTGCTCTTGGGGTTTCTTCCTTCTCTATCATATCTGTCTACTGCTTTATGCGATTTTCTTTGCAATCTTTCCTCCATTTTTTTGTGAATTTTTATCATGTATTATTTGTTGTTCCAATGGTTGAGTTTCTTCGTGTTGGGAAGAAATTTAGGCAGTGGAATTGAGAGTCAATTGTTGGGTGAAATATAGGCAAAATCAGGACCTAATTCTTTTGGTTCTATACTTGATATCGAAAGGAACTTCTGTATAGATGTGAGACGTTTTATTTGTGAAATATGTGGTTGAAACTTGATCTCCAGTCGGGCCAGTTGGGAAAGGCATGAGATATTTACCTAAGCAAGCTATCTTGAGCGGATCCCACGTTAGTCCCAAGATGTTGGTCTCTAGTAAAAGAAATAAAATGAATAAATTAGTTAAAGTAAAAAAAAAAAATTGGATTCATCTCTGGGTGCCTAGGTATCCACCGTAAGCCTTTCCTCGTTTGAACCTCGCCCGCTTTCTTCGCTCCGCGAATGAGAGAGAAAGTCAGAGGAAAAAACACGATCTCTCTTTACGAGCACCCCATTCATCCAAAAGAGAAGGGAAGGGGCCTATTTATTTGCATGACCTACTAACTGGTACATTTTTCATTCAATTTATCAATGTACTACGATTTTTTATGATAGGCTTCAGATTTTAATCATGATGTATCGACATAAATGCAAGACATTACTAAACCTCTCCTAACTATTGCCAACCTTCTTCTTTGATAATTGTTTCCCACGTCTTTACATTGCATGTTAGTTCTCTTTTTTAACAAATGCAAAATGCGTATGATCTATTCTTAACATGAAAAAAAATTATTTTGAAAGTGGAAGAAGTGTTAAAGCTATGTGAAACCCCTCGTAAAAAAATGCGAATTCTCAAATGGGTTTATAAAAAGTACTTGCACCTATTATTTCGGAATCTATTATACACACATACTTCACTTATAGAACATGTATGACATGCTAGCATTAAGCAA